CACACACACACACACTTTCTCACACACACTCACTCACTCTCTCTCACACACACACACACACTCACTCACTCAACAAACTCTCAATGTTTATAAGTTTTGCTTTTTTTTTTAAATGTTGAATTTAAGATTAATTACTCACATCCCAGTATTATTTTTATGACATTTATGTAAGAAGATAATATAAGTGAATGTTTAAAAAGGCCAGCAAATACGAAATTTAACCCAATAAAAAATTTAAAATAACGTTTAAAAAAACACAAGGCAACCAACTGCATTCAGGGAAACTCTTTCTTGTATTCCTTTAATGGGCAGTCTTCACTGAAACTCATTCAACTTCCTACAGGGAGAGAAAGATTGCAGAAAGACTAAAAACTTAAATATGACAACTAGCATCTAGTTATGATCGCTATTAAGGTGTTTCTCACGTTATCTAACTGCAAATATAGCATAACTACCTATTATCTAAAACTAAACATTAACTATAAACCGCGTTTCATAAAATACAACTACTGGCCAGATTTCCGAGAGGTAAACTAATGCGTTAAAATGCCAAAAACTGCTGTAATTTTCTCAACTTTCTGGCGAGTGTGCTTGAGAAGCACTGAAATTAATGGGCTTCAATACGGTTGTTTGGAACTATTGGCTGCTCCATGACACACTTTCCTCCGTTCCCATGGAAGCCTATGGGAGTGTCGCAACTCTGTTTCTCAACAGCTCTGTTTACAACAGTTTCGAACGTGGCTCAGCCAATCAAAATCAAGGACCGGAACTATCCGTTTTATAAACCCATATATGAGATGCATATCTGAGGAAAAACGCCACCTAGCGTGGAGGCGTGAATTAGCAGAAGGCGATCAATCGTTTCGCGTTCAGTGTGAAAGCACAGTTCGTCGGCGATTCGCCTCACTTTTTGGCATCGCGCTCAGTGTGAAACGGCATTTACACGCCCATCTCTGGAGTCTTTTTCAGGTCTAAGGTGTGAAAGACCAGTGCAGAAACAGTGGGGTTTCATGACGCTTTAAACCTTCTGTGGTGCATGTCATCCTCCTCTCTTTCGTCTGTCCTGTAGTTCTACTCGGGTCACCGCTCTCCTCACATTCCCTTCCGGCTGCTTCACCTGGTTTGGACTCACGCTCGACACCTCGCCGGCTACGAGCAGCAGGACGCTCACGAGTTCCTCATCGCTGCTCTGGATGTGCTCCACAGACACTGCAAAGGTACTGCAGCCAATCAGACGCCACGGTTTCAGTGCAGCAGCCAATCAGAGGACAGCTGGGTTAAACCACTTCGTTCAGAGTTGAATGTGGGATTTTCCTACTTGATATTTCAACATGACTTGATTGTGCAACATTTAGAATATGTAGCAACCAAACTGTATATTACTCAATTTTTATGTTGTGATTAATATTACTAATAACAATTTATAAATAATAAATTTCTAATAAAAATCGTGGCAAACAGTAAATGCTATTATAAATGCTATTATTATTAATAGTCATATTTTATAAATAATTATAATAATACATTAATAGTAAAAGGTGATGAGTAAACAATAAAATCATAATAATTGAAAAAATAATAAGAAATTCAGATGAGACAGATATGGGATTTTCCTACTTGAATTTTCAACATTACTTGATTGTAAAACATTTAGATGCAGCAACCAAATTGCATATTAATCATTGATTTTATGTTGTTAAAAATAATAATAGTAATAATAATAATAATAACGTATAAATACGTTACTAATAAAAACAGTAAATGCAGAATAATTAATAAAAAATTATAATTATTATTTAATTTAATAATAAATGGGGATAAGAGTAAATGAATAAAATAATAATAATATACAAATAATAATACATCCCATTAAGAGTAGGATATGGGTTTTTCCTACTTGATATCTCAACTGTACAAAATTCTAAATTAATAAGACATGATAAGAGTAAACGATACGAAATAAATGATTAAAATAATAATTTAGAAATAATACTAAATTAATGCAGTGCATGTTTTCCATAGGTGTAAGATCCATCATTTGCCGTGTTTTACACAGCTGTTTCTGAAAACTGCAATTTGTTAGTCAACTCTATTTTCACTGAGTGTTTAGTCTTCATTTTGTGATTTATTCACCATGTTTGTGTGCCGCATCTCTGCGAATAGTGTTTTTTTGCCATGTTTCAGAGTTGGAAGGCCGTCTTCAAGATCTGTTGCACTTTATCCAGTAGGAAGCTGCAAATTTCATCTTTCCGAATTGAGTGAAACGCAGCATTAGCTAGTTAATCATATTAGTTCCACCTGGCTAGTTTAGAGATGAAATGGGTGGCACGGAGCAGGAGAGGTAATGAAGGAAGGCTGCGTGATGTGTGTTAATGGTGACAGCTGTGGGAACGCAGGACGAGCCGGAACAGAATGAGTTTGCCGATTGAGCTGTTAAAGATGAAGTGTGTGTTTTGATACTTCTGCCTCAGTGAGGGGACAGAAGGAGAAGATGGGAGTTTTTGCAGTGGGTTTTTGCATCATCTGCCATTGGCTGGACAAACACAAAGCCCCGTCCCAGAATAACGCCATTGGTGGAGCAGGTGGGGCTGTGTTGGGCTGATCTGATGCTCAAACAAACAGAGCAATGTTTTAGAAAAAATATTTTAACATCGAGAAGATTACACAGATTTACCTTTAAAGGGATAGTTCACTCAAAAATGAAAAATTCTGTCATTTACTCATCCTCATATTGTTTCAAACCTGTATGGGTTTCTTTCTTCTGCTGAACACAAAAAAATATATATTTTGAAGAATGCTACCAAACAGTTTCTGTGGCTTTTTTCTCCCTACTGTGGATATCAATGGATACCAGCAACTTTTGTTACCAATATTCTTCAAAATATCTTCCTTTGTGCTCCATTCTATTTGCGTGTCTCTGTGTCTCTGTGTGTCTGTGTCTCTGTGTGTCTGTGTCTCTGTGTCTCTGTCTCTGTGTGTCTGTGTCTCTGTGTGCGTGTGCGCGTGTGTCTCTGTGTGCGTCTCTGTCTGTCTGTGTGTGTGTGTGTGTGCATGTGTGTGTGTCAAGTTTATTTCAAGTTTATTTGTACAGCGCTTTTCACGATGTAAATCATTGCAAAGCAACTTTACAGCAAATTAAGTTTCTACAATATTTAGTGGTAGCTTATCAGTGGTGACTGTCAGTTAATGTACATATGGCAGAAATGTACGGAAAAATCAATTAAAGACGTAATAAAACAGACGATGAACACTATTAACAGCAATTATTATATGATGCAATCAAACTTATAGCAAAATGTGGTAGTTCTGTATGTTGTTTCAGGGTTGGCATCATCTGAGG